AAGGACAAATATTGTATAAGACCACTATTATAAGAACTCAAGAAAAGGTTTAAACACAGAAGAAAACATTCTTTGATGGTTTCGAGGGTGGAGAGGGAGGGAGAGGGTTATTCACTAGATAGTAGATAAGAATTATCTTAGGGAAGGGAAGGGCAGCACACACTACAGGGGAAGTCAGCAAACCAAAGCTAAGAAGTTTCCTGAATACAACCCAACACTTCGAGGGACAGAGTAGCAGGGTTGGGGGTCTGAGGACCATGCTTTCAGGGGACATCCAGGTCAACTGGCATAACAAAGCTTAGTAAGAAAATGTTCTGCATCCTACTTTGGTGAGTGGCATCTGTGGTCTTAAAAGCTAGTGAGTGGACATTTAAGATGCAACAATTGCTCCTAACCTATCTGGAGTAAAGGAGAATGAAGAACACCAAAGACACAAGGAAAGTATTAGCCCAAGAGACAGAAAGGGCCACATAAACCAGAGACTGCATTAGCCTGAGACCAGAACACCTAGATGGTGCCTGGCTACCACCAATGACCACCCTGACAGGGAACACAATAGAGGGTCCCTGATGCAGCAGGAGAAAGGTGTAGTGCAGAACTCAAATTCTAGTAAAAAGACCAGACTTAATGGTCTGAAACTGGAGGAACCCCAGAAAGCATGGTCCCCAGACTCTCTGTCAACCCAGAACTAAAACCCATCCTGAGGCCAACTCTTCAAAGATTAGACTGGACTATAGGACATAAAATGATACTCATGAAGAGTAGATACATGAGACTAAATGGGCAGCTCCTGTCCAAAGGTGAGATGAGAAGGCAGAGAGGGTCAGGAGCTGGTTCAATGGACACGGAAATCCGGGGTGGAAAGGAGGAGTGTGCCGTTACAGTATAGGGAGAGCAATTAGGGTCACATAACAATGTATGTATAAATTTTTGTATGAGAGACTAACTTGAATTGTAAACTTTCACGTAAAATACGATAAAAGAATTTCCTCATGAGTCTGAATTTATAAACCAAAACATTCTTCTGTTATTTCTAAAGTAGTACTGCTACAGTATTTCTAATTATAAACCATATTTATTTAGCCATCTGAATTCTGCTCTGGGGAGAAAAGACCACAAAGGTTTTTCTCTAAGGCAAGTAAGCTCATGAAATAGCAAAAAATAGAAACGAAAGACTACAACTTTAAAAATGGTTTATTTTTTCTTTAACAATCTCACAGTTCTTTCCCTGTAGCCCCATTCCATCCCCAAATTAAAAAAAAAAAAAATAATAATCAAGAAAAGCAAGTCAGCAAGCAGAGGCCCCGCAAATGCTCCCTGCCGTGGGCAGCCACGGACGGCTGGCCTTCGCTTTAAGGCATATCCGTCCATGTTTGACTCGGGATCCTAGAAATGTTCAGTGAGCCTTTTCAGAAGCAAAGCTTTTTCTGTTACATTAATGCTTTATCACCTTGAGATGAAACGAAGGGCCCGCTACAGAAGGTTAGTTAAAGCAGAAGAAATAATAGCTTGAACGTGAACCGTATGCTTCAGTCCTGGTATCATCGAGAACCTCTGTGCATCTAAGACACGGTCCACACCCACGTGTGAGGCGTCTTCTGAGGCTGATTCAGTGCTGAGAACCTGAAAGCAGCCTGCTGGTCAAAGCCCAGGTTCTTACAAAGCAACTGCCGCAATACAAATGAACACATCGTTTATGAGACGACAACCTCTCAGATACCCAACGAGGTGCGCGTTTCTAACAGTGGTGGGGCGGTGCTGAAAAAGGGCAGAAGGGAAAGTCGGGTCAGTGCCCTCGGCGGCAAGCTCTGATGGAGCAGGACACACCCAACAGCATGAACTTAATCGGCCAAGCCGTGGGACAGGATGAGACCCCTTACTCGTATTTGTCAGTTTCTTTCCATCTCTCAACATTTCAGTGCTATCTCAACATCAGTGATAAAAGTGATAATGAGAAATTGTGTGAAGTCAAGATTATAAGTGTCGTCAGCAAGAGCCACTAAAAACTTCACCTGTGGTAGGAAGGTTGAGAATGTGTTGTATCTTCTTAGGAGTCCTGCTTCAGACTGAGGCCCCGTTTGAGAAGGCCAATCATCCCCGCAGCCTCTATCAGTCAATTTAGTGTCACAGGTGGTATCTATCATAAAGGCCAATTTGACCCTTTCAATTCCATAGTTAGCCATCTTTAATCAAGAAGAAAGGAAATCTGTTTACATTCTTTTTCTCAGTTGCTTTAATAGATGAGATAGTCTAGATATACTCAAGAATCTCAACTCAGCCCACCCAGGACAACCTGAAACGACAGAGCGTGTCAGCTGCCCGAGCAGACCCCGCAGCCGCCAGGTCAGGATCATCGACACCTTGTGCCGGCTCCCGTCTTAGCCCACCTGAGGCTGCCTTCTCATCAGCAGGGTATGGCCTGTCTGTCTCCTCATTCTGGAAAGAGAGCTAACACTTCAGAACCACAGCTTTAGCTGAGTCCAGAGGGAAGAACGTGTGACGCGTGAGGAGGAGGAGGTGGGATGAAGTCCAGGAAACAGACCACCCTTACGTTACAGTAGAAGCCTGGCCAACCCATCAGCTTGAGAGGAGACGGCAGAACCTCTGTTAGTACAGATGACCATCGAGCCATCTAAACAGTATAAGAGAAGAAAGAAGAGACTGAACATGTGTTTTAAACAAAAGATTTGTCAGATTTTAGCAACATGCCATTTTTTCCACACCTGTAGTCAGTTAATACAAAAGTAAGCCATTTTCTTAAAAAAGGGCGGCTGGGGTAAAATGTGATGCCAGGTGGATATCTGATTGGCACATGTAAGACGTGGCACAGGACGTACAGGGTTGTGTGGGTGTGTATACCACATCTCTCCTTGATAAAGTGCATTTGCCTGGCCTGAGAGGAGCGTCACTTTACTTGTCGTAAAGCCAAGGATTTGGAATCCGTGTCTAAACAAGGCAACCAACTAGTCAGCCCACAAAAACCGGCTGGTTCATCCTCTCAGAAGCGCAGAACCCGCAGCTGGTGGAGACCACCGCCGGGGCCCTGCCTGCTGCTGAGATGAGGCATAGACACTTCAGCAGCCACCTGGGTGCATCCTTGGGGGATGGTGGCTGTGGCCAGTGCTATCTGAAAGTCCCGACGTGGATGGACAGAGATGCTTCTGGTCCCCGGGGCCGGGCTGACGTTTCCACGCTGGAGAAAACGTCGCTGCTCTGCACATGAAGGGCTTCTTGGCTGCAGGAGACACAGGGCCACCATCACTGACCCGCAGACGGGCAGTGAACGCCGCCGTGGGCATCATCGGGTTTGCGGGTGTGGCGTGACTCCAAAAGCCATTCCAAATTTGAAAGGTCAAGTCGGAACAGATCATAGGGGCGTGTGTTAGCAAATCTGACTGATATTTCCAAACTGCCCCACAGAGAATCCCGGTTTACCCTCCCCCAACCAGGTCTGAGGACGCTGGGACCCCTGCCCTGCCACACAGCCTGTCCACACTCTGGGTCTTTCCCATCGTGCCAGGTACAACACGTTTCACAGCACAGATTGTTTTCTCCACTTTTTAAACTGAAGTATAACATTCATAGAGAGCACAAATCTTACATGTACAACCCTGCGACCTCTCACAAGCCTTCACCCCGTGTGCCCACCACCTGAACCAGGGTGTGAGCTGACCTGCTAGCAGCAGCCTGTCACCCTGACCTCCCTCATAGTGGGCTCCTTTCCCTGCACTGCCTCCGCATGACTGGAGTCCCCACATGCCACTCGCACCCTGTAACTGGCCTCTTCTGCTCACTCAGTCCCCATACGCACCCTGTCTGGCGTCTGCTTACTCAGTCCCCACACGCTGCACACACTGTGACTGGCGTCTTCTGCTCACTCAGTGCCCACACGCTGCACGCGCTGTCTCTGGCCTCTTCTGCTCAGTCAGTCCCCACACGCCGCACGCACT